AGAGAGAGAAAACAGGCAATCTCTTGTTAGGCTAACTGATCTATGTGGAGGTAAAAAAAAAAGGCAGCACTGGGAGCTCACAAGTTTATCTGCAGCACTGACAGGCAGCAATCTTCACAAATCACTGAAAAACGAACCTTTCATGAGTCGAACCAGCAAATCTATGGCATAGCTGGAAAGTCTACGCAGGTAAGCTATCCTGCTGAGCACCATTCCTCTTTACTATATGTAAGTTTTTATTCATCCATTTTATTCCCCATTTTTTACAGCATTTTATGTTCACTGGGTCTTCTTGCAGGCGAACTGTTTGTTTATACTACACTTTACACAAACCTCAGAGATCAACCCATATTTAAGTAACCCAAGAGTACTGATTATCTGAAAAGCGATGTTCAGACAATATGCCTATTAAAAGGGCAGCGATTTCTCTCTTTACCTCAGTAAGTTCTAGCTCTCCTAATTTAAATGCCCACAGCATTTGAAAGTTCCATGGAGAACTTTACTTGTCCTCAGACAACTGTAAGATCAAGGCAAAGAGAACAAGAAAACGCATGCGAAAGAAAAGAACATCGCTTCCAGAGTGGACTTCAAAAGCTTTTTTCTGCTTTGTCTGAAAACATCTAGGTATGTTTTCAGAACAGCATTGTTACGATGTCTAAGTTTCAGTTCCAACAGCCTTGTCATCAGCGTGTCTATGACTAAAGAAAAGAAGAATTCGGGAAAAGCAAATTGAGAAATGATTTTCAGACAAAGCCTGCCTAGTGCAAGAGCCAAAGAGCACCTGCAGAAGCTATAAAATAGACTAGCCCCGTTCTGATATTCAGATACTGTCTTGTTTATTAAGCACACTTTAACTGAAGCACCACTTCTAACAAGGAGTCAGAAGTATGCATTTAGTTAGTCCTGCTGCAGTGAGCTGCGCAGGATTCCAAGGCTTTTCTAGGAGACTTTGGATGAAAGGTCCGAGGCAGAAACAACATATTTTCATAAAATTGAACACAGACAAAATCCAATTTCTAACATTCCTAAGGGTAATCCAAAACATACCACCTCTCCAACCACAAGGGCTGAAAAATCCATTTATTCTGCACCTAACTTTAATCTTGAGGGAAAAAAAAAAAGAAAAAAGAAAATTCCAACTCTCTTCCTGCTCCCAGACAGGTGCCTCAGTCTGGCAAGAGCCCTCTCGTTTGCTGCCCTTTTTGATCCCATAATGCTTGCGTTCTTATTAAAGCTGAGTTCTCAGTCAGCTATGTGTCCTGCAGATCAACCATTGTACCCTCTGCCCTCCCTTAATGCAGGGGAAAAAAAGAAAAAACTAAACTACGGAGGATCAGACTTGTACTACTTATATGTAAAAATAAGCAAAGACTAGAGATTCAGATGGGATCTAAGCTTTTTGATTCAGATCAATGACCTACTCAAACTGGTGTGATAAAAGTTATTAGCTCATTCCCTGGCAACTGAACAATCTTCCAAACAATTCATACAGCCCCTGTACATTCACTCAGTTCTTTTGACTCTCACCTCTGGCTTGACAAGGTTAAATCAAACTGACCATCAACCTGGCAAGTGAAATGCTCAGAGTCATCGACGTCTTCCCTCCTTAAAACAAAGAGATTGCAATTCAAATAAGTTAATGACGACACCATAAAACAATCAAAAGGCAATGAAGCCACTTCTGTAAAAAGATTATAAGTAAAGCTGGCACTTCCTTTTTAAATTCTCAGCACAATCACCTTAAAATCTATTCTAATACAGTAGGCAATGCAGCATGAAGCTTAAACAGTGCAGAGAGAAAACGTGCTGTTTTGCTTAAGTATTATTAAAAACTAGCCAGCAATGCCAGAACATCGGATCTTCACCCTTTAAAGAGATGGCATTCCACAACCTTGACAGCGTTAATTAACAGCTACGCAAATAAAGCAAACTCAGTCTCTCAAGACTTTGGGAATGTATGAGCTGGTGTAAAGCTTAAGCTACTGAAAATTCACATTGGCATAGGTAGAACCCAGTGAAACAACAGGGAAGCAGCACGCGGTCTCACCTCGTTGGTGTTTTTGAAGCAGAGGTGCTCGTTTTTTCTTCCTGCGAGGGGATAAGCAAGGAGGCATAGCGCCGCTCAGAGGAGTTTGTATCCATGGTGAAGTTCAGCTCTTGGCTTTTACCTCCACTGCTACTTTCACTATTGCAATCTGTGCTATCCAAGTTATCCGAATCACTATTCCCACTTGCACCACCACCTCTTGGCTCTCCATTTATTTTATTTTTATCTGCTTTTTGCTGTGCTAGAGATATATGCTGATCTGGCAAAATTATCTGCATGTTCTGAGGAGTCTCTTTTGTTTTATTTTTCTTATTTTTTCTGTTTGTGCTAGGGGTGGTCACCACATTAGCTCTCTTCTTCCCAAAGGCATTTGTGAAAGTAGTTGAAGTCGCAGAGATTCCAATTGTAGTTGTAGTAGTTGCACTAGGAGGCTCTATAGGAACTTCTTGCTCCACTGAAAGAAAAACAGTCAATACACAATCAGAATCTACAAAATATGGAAATCGGTGTCCTGACTGAATCCCAGAATCCCAGAATGTCAGGGATTGGAAGGGACCTCAAAGGATCATCTAGTCCAATCCCCCTGCCAGAGCAGGACCACCTAGATCAGATCACACAAGAACGCGTCCAGGCAGGTTTTGAACATCTCCAGAGAAGGAGACTCCACAACCTCTCTGGGCAGCCTGTTCCAGTGTTCTGTTCCTCTTACTGGGAAGAAGTTCTTCCTTATGTTTAAGCAGAACCTCCTGTGTTCTAGCTTATATCCATTTCCCCTTGTCCTATCATTGGATGCCAGTGAGAAGAGCCTGGCTCCATCCTCAAGAAACTACAGCTGAAGTTATGCTCCTTGCTGAGCTGACAGACCATTCCCACCGCATTCGGCTGTAAATCCTCCAAGGAACAAAAGAGATTTTGGAACAAAGGAGCGGGGGTTGTCAGGGGGATGGGGGGAGTGGTGTGGAGGTGAGCAAAGGGTGGGGAGCAAAAGTAGCAAAAGAATTTTGCCAGGAACTGTGACTGCAGAGGGAAGAACCAGGGCAGAAGCTATGCAACCATGTCACAATCCCAGAGAAGCCAGCTTTCACACAGACTCCCTCAGCTAGATGGTTAAAAAAAGGCACCTCCACAACTACATTGTTCATAGGAACACTTGTTCTTTACCTTCATCATCATTTTCTTCTTCATCATCATCTTCTTGCAGTTCCAGAGTTTCTTTAGGCTTGTTTTCTTCATCTTCTTCTTGTTTTCGTTTTTGTTCCTCTTTCTTCTTTTTTCTCTTTTCCTTTCTTTTCTCCCTTTTGGCTGCAAGAGCTTGTTTTCTGCTCTCCTCTCTTGACTATGTAGGAGAAAAGGGTCCATACTTAAACATTTTCACACAGACTAAATTATACTTATAATTTAGATCTTCCCTAGAAATCCGAGGGGAAGGAGAAGGGAGAGCAGAGCATGATGAACTAGAATGACTTTGCCACATACTGAATCATTACGTGAAAACTCGGCACACCTTATGGGATGATAGGAGTAGTTTGTCACAAAAACTTTAAGGAGCAACAACAAAATAACAACCAAAACAGAGGTACTATAAAAACATAATTTGCCTAGAAAATCAGCAAAATCTCTCATCTCCTCAGTCCTTTCTCAGAAAACATTTAATAACCTCATTAATATTTTTGCAGCAGTGTTCACATCTTTGACTCAGAAAGATCTCCCAGAGTATATTACAGAAAAAGCTGCTATCATTTTAACCACTGTTTTTCAATATATGGAATTGGTCCCGTCAACTATGCTATACTGTAGCTTTGCACAGCAACTGATCGGTGTTTAAAAAGTCAGCAACCTGGAAAATTTAATAAACTACCATGGAACAGGTCCAAAACTTCTGTCATTAACGAAACATTGTGCAAACTGTTCATCAAAAGCTTTAAGAGCCTCCATTACGAGAGCGCTTAAGAAGTGTCTGAACTGCTCTAGGACACTTCACAGTATTGTCAGCGAGGGAGATGTTGCTTTTCCCCACTATCTGCCCAACTCCACACAGCGCACTGGGCAGCTTGTAGGCTCTCCTTTGTAACACTGAGTAGAAGACATAAAATGCTTATGGACTATGTCTTAAACAATATATAAAATCCCATGTATCACACCACCAAGACTGAAGACCTCCCTTACTCACGTCACCTGTGCTGAAGGAATGCAAGAGAGCTACTACCCAAGGTAACTACTGTCAAGTCCAAGCTTTCTTAAAAAGGACAACAGAGTGACTGAAGCAGAAGTCAGTTCTAATTTGCTACTCTCAGCATGTACTTCACTTTTTGTATACTAGAAGAAGGAAAGCACATACAGTTGACAGCATTAAGAGCTATGGCCCCAAGAAGCACAAACAGGAACTATAGCCTATAGAATAATACATAGCTCAATGTATGCTACATGACAGCAATTCTCTACTCACTTTTTCCAGGTCTAGCTCCTTCAGCAATATAGTTGCATTCTTATTTGCTTCTGCAGCCTGCTGGTCTTTAGCTTTCACAATCGTCTCCACGCACTGGTGACATTTTTTCAACAGGTCCTGGAATGTAAACTTGTCTTACTACCTCCATAAAAAACTAAAATTGAGGTAATAAACTAAAATTGAGGAGTGAGGCTTGCTCTACAAACATGAGATTAGCTTCCCTGTATTCACAAACATACGAACTATTTCAACACAACAAACTCTGTTGCTCTACAAACATGAGATTAGCTTCCCTGTATTCACAAACATATAAGCTATTTCAACACAATAGGACTCTAAACACGAATTTTTTTTTTAAGTTCTGTATTAAAAAGGAGACATGCACACACCTCCAAATCAAACGTACATGATCAAACACATACATTCAGTTTTTACGTACTTAAGAACTTCTCATGTATATTTTCACTGAAAATAAGGGTCTTTTCCCAAAGTTAAACTCACCTTGTCAGTTATCGTTGCTATGTATCGCATGCATTCAATGTCCGAAGGAAACTGGTTAACTTCTTTCACCAGGAACTGAACTACTTTCACATGTCCCTAGAAGAGCGAAGGAAACTCTAATCCCTTGTATACAACTGTACTTTGATAACAAACATTGACAAGTTTGGGATCTCTTAGCCCAATGCAAAAGACTAAAAACAGGCAAGAACATTCTGGTCAGCTGCTGCTTGGGAAGAAAGGTAGTTACTGTTTGCTCCGTGTTGACGGCATGTCTGCTGTTCTACGCCACGGTGGCAAAGACAAGCTCTCCCACGAGTAATATTTTATTTTAAAACACAAGGACCAAACCAGGCCCAAACGTAGAGGCAGGGGTTCATGGTTTTAGTAACAGCCAAGACGACCTTCGTCAGACTCCACCTGTCACCCGAACCCACTCTCCTGCCACTGCCCCACGGAGCTAACTGGGACTGTTACTAGGTAAGTCCGACCAGGGAAGTGAGCCACCTGAACGTTATCCCAGCAAACACGTGCCTCTGCTGCTGGCTCCACTCACTGACGAGGTACACTGTGCAACCACACAGGAAGTATCCCACTGTTGGCTCTGAAGTTCTTTGGAAGCAATGGAGGGACAACAATGACACACTCACTATTGCTGTTTGTCCAAAGAGCTCTACACTTATTTGATATTTTGCTAAAGGCAAAGCAGCTACAGTTAATGAATTCCTCTGCTACAGCTATGCACCTTGCATCCAACAACACAACCCATGAAATCATCACGAAGCAATGCTCTTCCTGCCAATAAGAAAATGTGGTGACAAAAGGGCTGACGACACAAAGTGTCCTGCTCAATAACAAATTACCAATGGAACAGGAGAAGCACAAAGGAGTCGGGACAGCTTATTACAGACTGGTATTTTTGTTCATCTCAAAGGCAAGTCTGAAAGAAGCTGTATCATCTACAGAAATTTAGAGGGGACTATGGTGACCTCAAGACAGTGAAATCTCAAACAGTACAAGTTCTTGGGCATTGTATAACTGGAAATAATAAAGTTAACATAATTTATGGAACAAACTTTTTCACCTCTCAAAAATTAGATCTCTGTGAAACATACAGATTATAATTACATTAAAGCAGGCATTTTATCAAAATAGTATTTTTATTGTGTTATATTTGGTTCTTCCAAAACCAAGCATTTAGATTTCAGACCAAACGAGAAACTCTGTTTTGAAAACATCTGGCATTGAAACATAAAATTAAGTCGGTCTCCTACCTTGCGAAACGCTGACATAAGAGGTGTAATTTTCCGATTATCCGCAGCATCCACGTCTGCTCCTGCTTGCACAAGCAGCTGAACCACATCATAGTGGCCACCATTAGCTGCCAACCACAGAGGCGTGTTTCCTTTCTTGTTACGAACATCGATATGTGCTCCTCTAAAAAGGGACAAGCGTAATCGAGCGAAACAAGGTATGAGTAAAAGTGGAAGTCAGGAAGCAAGGCCAGGTAAGACCAGAGCACAATTGGCTATATAACGTTAATTACTGAAATCTAGTGGCTAGACAGAGAGATTCTGTCCCTGAAATCTGCTGTTTAAATTGCAACACAGTGACACAGGGACTATTTAAACCTCCCTTACAGAAACGAACATGCACCTAACAAGGCCTTTTGCACCACAGCCATGCAATTGGCAACCAGGTGTCCTTTAAATTATCATTATCGTGGTGACAGTACAGGACAAAGCAGCCCCTTGAGACTTTAGCTGCACACAGGGTTACACTTGAAGAGCTCCAGAGCTACTTCCAGGCATTGCCCCTCAAGTGACAATGGAGAAATGCTCATGTGGGAATTGACGGATTAATACACAGCCAGAGCTGCCAAACTAGACACTGTTTGCTTACCTCTGGTCCTAGCTGCCTGCTTAGCTTAATTAATGCTGGAGCAGCAGGATACTCCAGGATAACACTAGAGAGTAAGGAACAGATACAACATCCTTCTTACAAAGTTTCCCATTCCCTTTGGTCTCAGATGCACAAGGCAATGTAAACAAGTGCACCCTTGCCACAGAGGAATACAGCCGCAGAACAAATGTGCCGCTAACGAGAAGAAATAATTTACCGATTAATCAGGAGCTCACAGAACTTGTAGTGACCCTTATCTGCTGCAATTGTTAAAGCTGTATCTCTTGAGGAAGGCACAGGTGGAGCATTAACATCTGCCCCTTTATCAAGGAGAACCCTTCCAACCTCTGCGTATCCTCCTGAAGCCGCTTCCATCAGAGGTGTGAGACCAGTCTGTGCAACGAGAATGAGTTGCAGTGTGAAGTCAGTACGATATGCTTTAGATAAGACAGAAATTATTTCTACACAGGGAAATCAGATTTTTTTTATTTAGCTGCTTTTATTTTGTTTAGGAGCCTAATTTCAAGTGGTCTCTTACTCAAAACAAAACAAAAACCACAACCAAAAAACAACCCCCAAAAACCAAATACTCTTGGGCTTTGATTTATACAAAGCCAGGCAATCCGTTGACAAAGTACCACCAGATACCTGTCTCAACAGCAAAAACGAAGTTTCCAACAGGATCTCTAAAAGTGAGATTAGAACAGATACAAATGGAGACACAAGTGTTTCTACGAAAACATCCAGAAACTGTCTTTATAGCTTTTCTCTAGCCTCCCTTAGCACTGAGATTGATCTGGGCCCAACTTAATTGCCAGGCTAGACTGTTTAAATAAACTTATACTAGCTGCTAACATGCCCAACTGACCATTTGAGAGCTGGCTTTTATCCATATCCCCTTTTCTCCAGCCACAGTCATTCCAGAAGCAGGGGGGGCAGACAGACACAGCAATTATTTCAGCAGCCTTAGGAGTTACCAAAAATTCCTTTGTGCTGGGGAAATCAGTCTGGCTGTCTACACAAGCTTTAAGCTTGCTTTATGGCAGGAGACACAAAGCTGTCCCAGAGTACCAAAGGATGGGATCTGTGGAGCATTTCAGAGGCACAGAAAGTCACAGTACTGAAGCCATGGGTTCTACAGCAACGTAAAAGCTTTACAAAGTGTGACTGCACTACTTCTCTTGTAGACAAGAAAGCTGTTCTCATATGAGTCGCTGTAAGCAACACTATCATCTTCCTGCCTAGACTTCACTCACATATAAGAATATCTGTTCTGCTAATGAGTATCATGTCAAGCTTAAACTTGCAAAGTTTCTCAGTACGACAGAACAAGAGTCAATCTAAGTTGCATTACGAACTCAGAATGACCAGTCAGCTTTTCCCTAATGCAAAAATTGATAATCATTGATGCTTTTGTGCTTGGTTTTGGTTTGTTTGGTTTTTGGTTTTTTTTTTTAAACCAAACTGATTTCAGAACATTTAATAAGTCCTCTGAGCCCAGAGAGGCTCGAAGTAACAGGAAAATTTTAAGAAATGTGATGACTCAGAGAAATCACCTGTTAGAAATAAGTCCTAAGGAAAGGTGATGCACATACTTACCTTTGCCCTGTGCTCCACATTGGCCTTCCTGTCCAAAAGCAGACTGACCACCTCTGCTCGGCCCTGGAAACAGGCCAGGGTAAGGGCTGTATTCCGGTTGGTCTCGATTTGGGCATTAATATCAGAACCCATATCAAGCAAGAGTTTCACAGCAGGTACATGGCCATTCATAGCAGCCAGCATCAGAGGAGAAATACCAAGCTTACTCCCGGTCCTAAAGGGAAAGAAACAAACTGCAGTTCCCAGAACCAGAGGAATGCTCTGGGAAATGTAAGTGTAGCTAAGAAAACCAAAATGTTTTGTTGTAAGCCAGAAAAGAACATCAAACATACATAAATATAGACACTGACCTAAAATACTAGCATTTTTGAATTGATTAGGAGAAACCATCACAGTAACTACATGCAGCAGACAACTGCAATTTATAAACAAGGAAAATACATTTCAGCTTTTAGACATTCAGATGGCTGGAGTACACATAAGCCTGCAACTAGAGATACTAAAAATTAAGGCTGTACCTGATTCATTCAGAAAAAACATGCTTCTAGCACAGCTGGTTTTAACTGTCTCTAGTAATAGAATATGTGTAAGTTTTCCTAAAATGAATAAAGAGGAGGCTTAAGAGACGTAGCTGTGTACATTTATTCCTCTTACTGAAAGACACATCTCCAATCACACACATAGAGCTGCCCTGAGTGCTCTGGCTGGCTCCTTTACCTGGTTCTACTGGAAAGAGAGTTTGACCTCTAGGTCCTCATATGATGGAAAAGAGAAAGGGAAACTCTTAACAATCCTTCAAAATGTAGGTACAAGGGAGATCAAGTCTGTGGTAAAGGCAATTCAAAAGCTCTAAGATAACATGAACACAAAGGACAACACAAGTGTACAAAGGCTGCAAGGAGGTCTGAAAGCCCTAGAGATTCCAACCTACATCCCAGCACGTAGCCAGTGCTGGAGTGTCTGTGCTATACCACAGTTCACCTGGTGTACGCAGTACTTTACCTTGAATTAATTTCTGCCCCAGCATTGAGAAGAATCTTGATGATATTAACGTAGCCACCAGAGGCAGCAAGGCTTAACGGCGTATAATCGGACACATTCCTATGTTCTTTATTTGCTCCCCGGGCCAACAACAAATCAACAACCTGAAAAAACAGCATGCACGTTAAGAGACATACTGTGGCCTTAGCTATTGACCAGGAAGTGAAAGGATGTTATCACATGTTCAAACCTTCCAGTGTGCTATCAACTTCCATTGTTAACAGATAAGATTCTACAGGAAAACCTCTATCCTTTTGCTTTACTTTCACATATGCGCTGTACAGACTAACAGATACATCTGCTAACCTGCGTGGGTTGTAACGACGCGGCATCGTCCTCCAGAAAGATTATTTAACCTAATGAAAAACACAAGGCTTTCTCTTCCGGTGAGTCTTAAGTTGGCAAATAAGGGATCTATCCCACTCCCATAATGGCTCACACTGTTTGAGCATTTCTTTCAGAAACTCCCACAACTTCAATTCAAATGACACTTGAGCCAAGGTTGACCACCTTCATTATATGCTCTTTCCAACAAAACACATGGTAAAAATCAGACTGACCGATGTTAAGTGATGTTAGTGAGAAAGCTCACTACCTTGGATTAGCAGGCTCACTACCCTGGATTTCAGGAGAGCAGACTTTGGCCTGTTCAGGGATCTGCTTGGTAGAGTACTATGGGATAAAGACCTGGAGGGAAGAGGGGCCCAAGAAAGCTGGTTAATATTCAAGCATCACCTCCTACAAGCTCAGGAGCAGTGCATCCCAACAAAGAGGAAGTCAAGCAAAAACACCAGGAGGCCTGCATGGATGAACGAGGAGCTACTGGACCAACTCGGACACAAAAAGAAGGCCTACAGAGGGTGGAAGCAAGGACAGGTAGCCTGGGAAGAATACAGAGAAATTGTCCGAGCAACCAGAGATCAGGTTAGGAAAGCTAAAGCCCTGATAGAGTTAAATCTGGCCAGGGACATCAAGGGCAACAAGAAAAACTTCTACAGATATGTCAGTGATAAAATAAGATCTAGGGAAAACGTAGGCCCTCTCCGGAAGGAAACGGAGGACCTGGCTACCCGGGATATGGAGAAGGCTGAGGTTCTCAATGACTTCTTTGTCTCAGTCTTCACTGGCAAGAGCTCCAGCTGCACAGCCCAAGTCACAGAAGGCAAAGGCAGAGACTGGGAGAATGAAGAACCGCCCACTGTAGGAGAAGATCAGGTCCGAGATCATCTAAAGAACCTGAAGGTGGACAAGTCCATGGGACCTGATGAGGTGCATCCAGAGGTCCTGAGGGAACTGGCGGATGAAGCTGCCAAACCATTATCCATCATATTTGAGAAGTTGTGGCAGTCTGGTGAAGTTCCTACTGACTGGAAAAGGGGAAACACAGCCCCCATCTTTAAAAAGGGAAAAAAGGAAGACCCAGGGAACTACAGGCCAGTCAGTCTCTCCTCTGTGCCCGGCAAGATCATGGAACAGATCCTCCTGGCGACTAAGCTAAGGCACATTGAAAATAAGGAGCTGATTGGTGACAGCCAACATGGCTTCACTAAGGGCAAATTGTGGTGGCCACATTTGGTGGCCCTCTATGATGGGTAACAGCACTGGTGGAAGAGCAACTGGACTTGTCCAAAGCATTTGACACTG